TTGCAGTTTGCCCATTGCAGCTTGCCCATTGCAGCTTGCCCATTGCAGCTTGCCCAGTGCAGCTTGCCCATTGCAGCTTGCCCCTTGCAGCTTGCCCATTGCAGTTTGCCCATTGCAGCTTGCCCATTGCAGTTTGCCCATTGCAGCTTGCCCAATGCAGTTTGCCCATTGCAGCTTGCCCATTGGAGCTTGACCATTGCAGCTTGCCCATTACATTTTGCCCATTGCAGTTTGCCCATTGCAGCTTGCCCATTGCAGTTTGCCCATTGCAGCTTGCCCAATGCAGTTTGCCCATTGCAGCTTGCCCATTGGAGCTTGACCATTGCAGCTTGCCCATTACAGTTTGCCCATTGCAGTTTGCCCATTGCAGCTTGCCCATTGCAGCTTGCCCATTGGAGCTTGCCCATTACAGTTTGCCCTTTGCAGTTTGCCCATTGCAGCTTGCCCATTGCAGTTTGCCCATTGCAGTTTGCCCATTGCAGCTTGCCCATTGCAGCTTGCCCATTGCAGTTTGCCCATTGCAGCTTGCCCATTGCAGTTTGCCCATTGCAGTTTGCCCATTGCAGCTTGCCCATTGCAGTTTGCCCATTGCAGCTTGCCCATTGCAGCTTGCCCATGGCAGCTTGCCCATTGCAGTTTGCCCATTGCAGTTTGCCCATTGTTGCTTGCCCATTGCAGCTTGCCCATGGCAGCTTGCCCATTGCAGTTTGCCCATTGCAGCTTGCCCATTGCAGTTTGCCCATTGGAGCTTGCCTATTGCAGCTTGCCCATTACAGTTTGCCCTTTGCAGTTTGCCCATTGCAGCTTGCCCATTGCAGTTTGCCCATTGCAGTTTGCCCATTGCAGCTTGCCCATTGCAGCTTGCCCATTGCAGTTTGCCCATTGCAGCTTGCCCATTGCAGTTTGCCCATTGCAGCTTGCCCATTGCAGCTTGCCCATTGGAGCTTGACCATTGCAGCTTGCCCATTGCAGCTTGCCCATTGCAGTTTGCCCATTGCAGTTTGCCCATTGCAGCTTGCCCATTGCAGCTTGCCCATGGCAGCTTGCCCATTGCAGTGCCCATTGCAGCTTGCCCATTGCAGTTTGCCCATTGCAGTTTGCCCATTGCAGCTTGCCCATTGCAGTTTGCCCATTGCAGCTTGCCCATTGCAGCTTGCCCATTGCAGCTTGCCCATTGGAGCTTGCCCATTGCAGCTTGCCCATTACGGTTTGCCCTTTGCAGTTTGCCCATTGCAGCTTGCCCATTGCAGTTTGCCCATTGCAGTTTGCCCATTGTTGCTTGCCCATTGCAGCTTGCCCATGGCAGCTTGCCCATTGCAGTTTGCCCATTGCAGCTTGTCCATTGCAGTTTTCCCATTGCAGCTTGCCCATTGCAGCTTGCCCATTGCAGTTTGCCCATTGCAGCTTGCCCATTGCAGCTTGCCCATTGCAGCTTGCCCTTTGCAGTTTGCCCATTGCTGCTTGCCCATTGCAGTTTGCCCATTGCAGTTTGCCCATTGCAGCTTGCCCATTGCAGCTTGCCCATTGCAGCTTGCCCATTGCAGTTTGCCCATTGCAGCTTGCCCATTGCAGTTTGCCCATTGCAGCTTGCCCATTGCAGTTTGCCCATTGCAGTTTGCCCATTGCAGCTTGCCCATTGCAGCTTGCCCATTGGAGTTTGCCCATTGCAGCTTGGGCATGAGCAGTTGGTCCTCCTCATAGACCGTGGGCACCTGCACTCACCCCAGCATGCAACTGCTGCACACCTCCACACCGTGCCTCACACCTCCACATCGTGCCTCACACACCTGACTGCTATTGCCCTGTTCTACACCTGATTGCTCCCCTCTCCTTCCACATGGCTGGCCCGCACAGGGCGTACGCGCGGCGCCACGGGTACCGCTTTGTGGAGATGGGCGAGGAGGACAAGGAGACGGACCGCCACCCCTCGTGGTTCAAGGTGGGGGGATGCCCCCCCATGCCATTTGGCCACTAACACGCTCCGCATTATCCCCCCTTCATTTTCGACACGCGTCATACCTAGGTGGCATCATGGCTTGTGGCGTTTCATGCACCACACGACACCTGCCATCTGTGCACCATAGCCATGTTGGAATGCCCCGTAGCCATGCTGTGCGCCATAGCCATCCCATCGTACCACTTCCATGTAGCGACTTCCATCCTCCTTCCCCTCTCTTCCTTCATTCCTCTATCCCCCCTCTCTCACCCCTCTCTCTCACGGTTCGTTTCCCACTACCAGCTCTCATATTGCTGCAACATGGTCGCCAGCTCTCATATTTCTGCCACATGGTCGCGTTTTACTAGTCTTAAAGTGACTCCTTCTCTACCATCCCTTCCCCTACCCCCTCCCACCCCACCCCGGCGCCGTGCCCATTGCCCGCAGGTGCGGTTCCTGCAGCGCCAGCTGGCGTGCTGCTGCGCGTGGGCGGTCTTCATGGACTCCGACGCCTACTTCCGCATGGCCAACCACCGCCTCTCCGTGCACTCCTGGGTCCACCGACTCACCCTGCCAGTGAGCTGCTACGTGCCCGCAAGTGCTTGGGCCAGGCACCAGTCGCTGCACTCGCATGCCCCCACGAGTCCGTCTCATGGATTCCCACGCCCTCTTCCGCATGCCCACCCACCGCCTGTGCGTGCCCCACCTGATTCTGCCGCTGCGCGCATGCAACACCGGTCTGGCCTCGTCGTCCCGCCTTGCGCGCATGGGTGGAGCCGCACTCCCACATCCGCATCCCGAATCAATGCCCCCCCTCCCTCCCCGTCAGCACTACTTTGACTGGATCGCCCAAGAGTACAACATCTCTCTCGCCAACCAGACGTGGTTCCCCCGCCCCCCCTCCTCCATCTTCTCGCACTCGCCGCCTGCCTGTGCGCGAGACACCATGGGAGGGAAGGAGGGGAGAGGGGCCGGAGGATGGGTTGGGGGAGAGGGAGACCATGGGGCAGTGGGGGGGGAGGGGGAGAGCCGGGCAGCGGTGTGTGTGATAGCGCCGAGGAACGACGACGAGGTGTCGGGGATGGCGGAGGGGCGGGCGGCGGCGCTGTTCAACGGGAGCATGGAGTACGTCAACGCAGGGGTCACGCTCTGGCGGCGGTCGGCGCACTGCCTCAAGGTGTGAGCCGTGTTGGAGAGCGGGCTCAGGATGGATGGGGAAGGGGGTTAGCGCTGTTGAACGGCAGCATGGAGCATGCGATGCAGGGGTCACTCTCTGCCTCCCCTCCATGCACTGCGTCAACGTGCCAGCCGTGCTTGAGGGATGGGGGGGGTAAGGGGGAAGGTCGAGGGCGCTGTTGAACGGCAGCACAGTGTATGTGAACGCGGGGGTCACTCTCTGGCACCACTCCCCGCACTGCTTCAAGGTGCTGCTGCTCCCTGCTGCTCCTTGTTGCTGCGGTCCCCCCCTGCAATGGAGCGCCACTCATGCTCACCTCATCTTCGCTGCAGTCAGTAGCTTTGAAAAGCCAATGGTCGTCTTTCAGAGGCACAATCTCACCCTCCCATCTTCCCATGTCTTCTCGCACGCATCTCTCGCCATTCCTTCCGCCCTTTCCCATTACCACCCCCTCCAGCTGCTTGCCAGCTGGCACGAGGAGCCGGGGCAGTACCTGTGGAGGCGCAACTGGGAGCAGCCAAGGCTGAACTTGCTGCTGGCCATGCCGCAGCACGTGGCTGACGTGGCAGTCGTGCCGTTCCGCGAGCTGACGGGGCACTCGGGGCGGGCCATCCGGCACCGGTGGCTCAACTCCATTATGACTGATGAGACGCGCAGCGACCTCGTCAAAGATGCACTGCTGGGCAGCTTCCTCACGAGTTACATGTACATGTTCTAACCACCTCTAACTTGTGTTGTATGGTTCTCCCTTAATGAATAACAATCCTATGTTCTGTGTATGCAAACGAAGGGAATGCACGGAGAGGAGGCATCAGATCGTGTATCTACTCTATCTCAAGCTACGAAAAGTCCAAACAGATGACCTGATCGCTTCCTACCCACATTTCCCACTCAAACATTCATTCATACAGGATGTGCCTGCAGCGTGTACACTCCACGACAATAGAAACTGTAGGCACGTCCTCGAGAACTCATTCGAGCCCATGCGCACAAGCGCAGAGGCGAGGTGAGGGGAGGGGAGGGGACCAGGAGGAGCCGCGACGTGCGAGAGTGATTATGGCGGCCGTGGCGCACTCCGCCCCGCCATTCCCCCCTCCATTTGACTGGGCAGGCTGCGGGGGAACCCCATGGTGCGGGTTGAAATCGGTAATGATCGTTTGCGCTCGGTTGAAGGTTGCAAATGCTCACACGGAACGGAAGCTCTGGATTCTCGATTCGAACAGAGCATACGTTAACAGCGTAATCACCCTAAATTTACTGAAAATACAAGATTTGTTCGGACTAATCCTGTGTTTTCTAGAGATTTGTTTAATCCAGCCCTGAGAGAGTGACGGGGATTGATCAACTGATCCCTAGTTGTCCGGGGCGGTTTTGAGGGGACCTGAACATCTAGTTAGCCTCCAGGGGGTGTGGGAATCTGTCAAACTTCCCTTTCTTCTCTTTCACCCTTAGTCCCAGTCTGCTCTTCCCATTTTCCCTTAGTTTAGCGGCTGGTTTTAAAATGAGCTGCCAGGAACAATTGTTCACGCCACTCAAACTCGCCCTATCCCTCCCACCAAATCCCCTTTCGTCCCAGCCCCCTGACTTAAATACAGCACCTTCACGTGCATGATACATCTGCAGCATAGGTGCTGGTGAGGGGGCGGGTTTCCCACCCTGAAGTCGCCCACTGGCACCCTCACTATCCGGCATTTTTTAGCACGGACCCTGAAGAATCATGGTAATTTTCTTACGAGGTCGGATTTTACAGAGCGATTTTCCGAGGGGCCCGGATCATCCGAGATAGCGAAAAACCTAGCGAGAGCCTGTTCTCGAATCTCGGATGATGATTCGCCCACAGCTGGTTGGTTGGCAGGGCAGCTGAGGGAGGAAGCGGCTGGAGTGTGTTGGCGCGGCTGGCAAGCAACTAGTGAAGCATTTCGGCCCAGCAGGGTCGCGTCATGGCAGATGCCATCGGCAGCACCACCCCGTATTTCGGCATGAGGGTCCTCCCCTACGCTAGCGTCTAACCGCCACTGCAAGGTTGGGTGATGAATGATTGAGAGCAAGCACAGCGAGTCACGAGCCGTCGAATAAGCGTGAATGATTCGCGCCATGGTCGAACCGCGTTCCGAACGCCATCGGCATCGACATGGAAGCGCGCGGCGCGTGTCGCAATGCACTGGCCCGAAGTTACGTAGCGCTAGTAACGTGCGATAGCTTAGTAGCGGCAAGAGCACTTTCGCCTTAGGTGAACTCCAGTGCCCAAATGACGCCTGCCCTGCCGTCTTAGCTAACCGCGCCAGTCGTGAGCAGCTTGATTCCCCCCCTCGCACGCCAGTTACCGGCCTCCGTTAACCGCGAGTGGAGCGCGCGGGCGGCATGATTCCGTTCCTCATCTGCCTGCTCTGCCTCACGGGCGGCTGCCTCTGGTGGCTCTTCCGCCGCTGCATTCACTCCGGCGCCACTGCCAGCAAGGACTGGCCGCCCGCCACCTACGACGAGTTTAAAGACGTCCCTCGGGTGTGCCGCATCCTGCTGTCCGTGTACGAGGAGGATATTAATAACCCCGTCTACAACGACCGCCTCGAGATTAAAGACGTCGCGCGGCTCGCGGGGTACAAGGAGACGGAGGGCAAGTGCCCGCCGTACGTTATTTACGTCGACCACGCCGCCAAGGACATCTGCCTGGCGGTGCGCGGATTAAATATGGGCAACTTCGCGGACTATAAGGTGCTAATGGACAACCGTATAGGGAAGCAGCGGTTCGACGGCGGGTACGTGCACCACGGCCTCTTAAAATCCGCGGCGTGGCTGCTGGACCGCGAGATGGAGACGCTCAACGGGCTCGCGGCCGACAACCCGGACTACACCGTCACGTTTGCTGGCCACTCGCTGGGGAGCGGCATCGTGGCGATGATGACCGTCATCCTCCATAAGAACCCCCTCGAAGTGGGCTTTCATCTCGTGCGCCTCCGCTGCTTCTGCATCGCGCCCGCGCGGTCCACGTCGCTCAACCTGGCGATTAAGTACGCTGACATCATCAACTCCGTCGTCCTGCAGGTGAGCTGACGTCATCAATCCCGTCGTCTTGCAGTGCGTCCATCGCCCGGCCTCTGAGTCCGTTCCACTTCTAAACGCCTCGCCCAACACATTCCCACTTCCTCTCCCGCCTCGCCTCCAACATCATGTCTCCTCTCTGTCCCTCCTCTCTCCCCCTCCTCTCTGTCCCTCCTCTCTCCCCCTCCTCTCTGTCCCTCCTCTCTCCCCCTCCTCTCTGTCCCTCCTCTCTCCCCCTCCTCTCTGTCCCTCCTCTCTCCCCCTCCTCTCTCCCCCTCCTCTCTCCCCCTCCTCCCTCCCCCTCCTCCCTCCCCCTCCTCTCTCCGCCTTCGTCTCTCTCCGGCCTCGTCCTGCCCTCCGCCCGTCTGTCCGCTGCGCCCCTTAGGACGACTTCCTGCCGCGCACGTCGGCGCCCATCGACAACATCCTCGCACTCTCCTTCTGGTACGCTCTCCTTCTGGTACGCTCTCCTTCTGGTACGCTCTCCTTCTGGTACGCTCTCCTTCTGGTACGCTCTCCTTCTGGTACGCTCTCCTTCTGGTACGCTCTCCTCGCCCTCCCACTCCCCTCACACTCCCCCCCTGCATGCCCCCCTGCATGCCCCCTGCATGCCCCCTGCATGCCTCTACCCCGCGTCGCTCCGCCTCTGGCATCCCCCCACCCCGCCCTGCGTGCATTGCGTGCTGCTGGGTCCACCCGCGACTCATCACACTTCCCCAATGCCTTTCTTGTTCTCTCCAATCCGCCAGGCACCTGAGATCCTTATACCACTCCTCTCCAACCACCTTCATCCCCTGCAGCCTGCCAGCGTGCCCTGCGCGCTGTGTCGAGTGTGGCAACTAGTTCCACCCGCAAGTTACCGCAGTATCCCCATGCTCCCTCGCATCACCCCCCCCAGCCTGCCGTGCGTCAAGTGCTGCTGGGACGCGTGCTGCCTGTAGCGAGCCGACCCTCAAGATACCCGAGCGCCCCATGCCTTGCACCGCCTCAAGAGCGCCCATGCCTTGCACCGCCTCAAGAGCGCCCCGTGCCTTGTATCGCTTTCCCCAACCACCGTCCCCCTCCCGTCCCTCCCTCCCGTGCACGCCCAGCCTGCCGTGCGTCAAGTGCTGCTTGTGAGTCTCCTCGCAAGGCAATGAGTCATCCACGCCATGCCCGCCCCTCCCCCCCCAGCCTGCCGTGTATGCTTTGCGTCAAGTGCTGCTGGGACACGTGCGGGCTCTACAAGCGCCGCGTCAAGGACCCCCGCCGCCTGTACGCGCCGGGGCGGCTCTTCCACATCCTCTACACCAGCGACTTCAGGTGCGCCGCTCTGCACCCCGCAGCTCGTTGCTTCACTCCACGGCAACTCGCCTGGTGTCAGCCATGGACGGCTGTTCCACATTGGGCTTCTAACGTGCCAGCAACTTCGCGCGCCGTGGCTGGACACAGGTACAGTGCCTCGCTGTGGCCATCGTGCCTCAGTGCTTCACTGTGGCCATCGGGCCTCACTGTAGCCAAGGTTGTTCTCTCTCTCACTCCCTCTCCCCCTATCCCCCCCCATATCCCTTTCCCCCCATGCAGCCCCTCTACTCTCCTCTCTCTTGTTATTTCAACCAGCTGCCAGGAGGAGGAGCCGAGCCGAAGGCAGCAGAGCCTGTGGAGGACTGCTTTGAGAAGGGCGTGCTCTTCCCCTCTATCTCTCCCTTACTCCCTTCCAGTATCTTCCTCCCTCTCTCCTGCACTACCAATCAACCCAATCTCTTCAATAATGTTTTGACCCGATCCCTCCCCCCCCACCAGCTGCAAGGAGTAGGAGCTGCAGGTGAAGACAGCCATCCAATAGAGGACCGCCTCGAGAAGGGTGTGCTGTACGCCCCTGCCCTTGTTTTATCTCACTCTCCTCACCTCCAACCATCCATCCATCCATCCATCCATCCATCCATCCATCCATCCATCCATCCATCCATCCATCCATCCATCCATCCATCCATCCATCCATCCATCCATCCATCCATCCATCCATCCATCCATCCATCCATCCATCCATCCATCCATCCATCCATCCATCCATCCATCCATCCATCCATCCATCCATCCATCATCCATCCATCCATCCATCCATCCATCCATCCATCCATCCATCCATCCATCCATCCATCCATCCATCCATCCATCCATCCATCCATCCATCCATCCATCCATCCATCCATCCATCCATCCATCCATCCATCCATCCATCCATCCATCCATCCATCCATCCATCCATCCTTCCATCCTTCCCCCCCCTCTCCCCCCCGTCCTTCCCCCCTGCCCCCCGCCAGCTGCAAGGAGGAGGAGCCGCAGGTGAAGACAGCCGTGCCGGTGGAGGACCGCTTCGAGAAGGTCGTGCTCTCGCGCACGGCCATCGACGACCACTCCATCGTGGTCATCGAGCGCCGATCAACGGCTGCGGTGGAGTCCCTGGAGGTGAGAGAGGAGGTGGCGGAGAGCAAGGTGGCGCCCGGGCGGCAGCGCATGCAGCGGTCGGCGACGATGAAGGAGCGCAAGGAGGAGTACGCGCGCGCGCTGGAGCGCGCCCTCACGCTGCACGTGCCCGACGCCGCCACGCCCGAGGAGATCCGCCTGCTGGTGGCTGCCGCCGAGGAGAGGGAGGACGGGGGAAGTGGGGGTGGGTTGCTGGGGTGGAAGGGCGGCGAGAAAAGGGAGAAGGGCGAGCAGGGAGAAGGGAGGGAGAACTCAGAAACGGTGCCCCTTCCAGCAGCAGCAGGGGCAGCAGCAGCAGGGCAAGCTGCAGCAGGGGCAGCAGCAGCAGGGGCAGCAGGGGCAGCAGCAGCAGCAGCAGCAGCAGCAGCAGCAGGGGCGGGTGTTTCTGCTGCGAAGGCGGTAGGCGTTGAGAGAGAGGCAGGGAGGGTTGGAGTAGGAAGTGGAGAAGAGAGGAAAGGGGAGGAGGAGGAAGGGGGGAGTGAGAGGAGTGAGACGCTGTCTGAGTTCTGGCGCAAGGAGCTGGAGGAGTTCCGAGAGAAGGAGAGGCAAGCGCTGCTGGACGAGGAGCGCCACGCGGAGGAGCGGTTGAGGCGCTTCGAGGAGCAGCGCCGGGACGAGCTCAGCCGCCTGGAGGCGGAGGGGCGGGAGGACGGCGGGGAGGAGGCAGACCGGCTGTCGCACTTGTGGGACGGCGAGCTGGCGGCGCTGCGGCGCAAGGAGGAGCAGGCGGCGCTGGAGAGAGAGGCGCAGGCGGCGGAGCGGATCCGCGCGTTTGAGGAGAGGCGGCGGGCGGAGCGGGAGAGGAGGGCACAGCAGGAGGAGGCGGAGGAGCGGCTGTCGGAGTTCTGGGGGCGGGAGATGGGGGGAGAGGGGGGGAGGGGGAGTGGGAGGAGGAGGTGAGGGAGGGGAAGGGGAGGGAGGGAGAGGGGCATGTGGTGGTGGCGGTGAAAGAGGGGGATGACGACACTGCCACAACTCCTGCTGCTACACCTCCTGCTGCTACACCTCCTGCTGCTACACCTCCTGCTGCTACAGTTCCTGCTGCTACAGCTCCTGCTGCTTCCGCTGCTGCAGCTGCTGGCACGGCAGGGGAAGTTGTGGTGAGGGTGGATGAGGGGGCTGGGGGTGGGGCGACAGAGGAAGGAAAGAAACAGGAGAAGCCGGGCAGCGGAGAGACAGAAGGGAAAACGGAGGTGGGAGGGACAGCAGATATGGCCATTCAGGTCGATGAAGGACCCATGCTGGATAAGGCGGCAACAGCCGCAGTGGTAGTGCCAGCAGCAGCAACAGCAGCAACAGTAGCAGCGCCAGCAGCAACAAAAGCAGCAGGAGCAGAAGCAGCAGTAACGTGTGCTGCACCTCAAGGTGCGCGGACAAGCGAGCCGAGCAAGGCAGAGCCCCAGGGGGAGCAGCAGCAATGGCAGCAGCAGCAGGCACAGCTGGGGCGGGGTTTGAGGGGCGGGTCGGAGGGACAGCGGCAGGCGGTGGCGTCGGCGCGGCAGAAGTGGGAGCGCATCGTGGACGAGCTCATCGACACGGGCGAGGGGGACCAGCACACAGGGGCACGGGACGCCGCCGAGGCTCAGCTTCGGGAGGTGCAGAGGTTCAGCAAGCAGCAGTGGCACAAGGCTCGGTCAGCGTTCCTGTCAGGCGTGGGGAGCCTGTCGAAGAAGGCCGGCATGGGCATCGAGATCTAAGTGCAGAGCACTCGTGGCAGTCCATGCATGGCTGGCGCCACCGGTATCCCGTGCTCGTTCCAATGGACCCCAGGAGTGATTGCTTTGCTGCAAACCAGCTTTGCAGTCTAGGTAGGTAGGTAGTGAGGCAGGTACTCCAGCGTCGTGCTGTTGTGTGTGTGTTCGCTTCCGCATGCGTGGCATGGCATGCCATCCCATGCATGCCAGTGGTGCTCCTAAGTGCAAGGGTTATTATTATTTCTCTTGATTCATTCAGGGCCAGGCTGTCAGGCTACCGAGTTACCATCTACGGTACATAAAAAACCAAGACTTCTGAAGAATCCTTGAAACATGGCCAGAGATGGCATCAGTAACTAACAGCAGACCAGCACAGGAGGCACAGTTTAACGAACAGTGAAATTGATGAATAGAGAGAGAGAGAGTACACAAACATATACCTAAATGTTGTACTCTCTAGAAGATAACCCTATACAGTCTATACAAGCATGATAACTAAACATGTTTGACACACCCCCTGGACTGCATAGGGGAATGTTCTAGACAAGCAGCTCAGGGTGGCACTACTAGTCCAGCCTCTGAGACAAGGGTCTAAAAGACCAGTCAGAAGGAGTACAGGCAAGGCAAGAACTAGTACAGGGCGGCACTACTAGTCCAACCACTGTAAGAGGACACAAGTCCAGTCTGAGTGTACACACAGATATATAGGACAGTACAGAGTCAAGGCCCGAGTAAGTGAGAGACTACAGGAACCAGACCAAGCTGCACACAGTGCCGCTGATGATCTTTAGGCGCAAGCGCCTTCGTAAAGATATCAGCTGTGTTGGCACCGGAGGCTAAGTGTACTACGCGAGCCTGGCGTCGCTGCTGTAGCTCACGCAGGAGGAAGTACCGCAGCTGGATGTGCTTCGCTCTGCCCTCGAGTCGAGGCTCCTGACACAGGAGGATCATGGCCCTGTTGTCAGCGTACAGGACCGGGGCAGAGCTAGGCCGCTCACCTAAGTCAGTGAGCAAGAAGGTCAGCCAGCGGAGCTCCTGTGCCGCCATGGCACCGGCGTAGATCTCGGCCTCACAGCTGGACTGGGCAACAGACGAAGAGCGGGTAGCTCTCCACGAGACAGCACCTGAACCAAGGCTAAAGCAGTAGCCCTGGGAAGACCTGAGCGTCTCGGCGTCGTCTGCCCAAGAAGCGTCTGTGTGTCCAGTAAGGACCACTGGCCTGCGTCCGCCTAGCACTAACCCCATGCCCGATGTACTTGCAAGATAACGCAAAACCCTCTTAGCGGCAGACCAGTGCTGAGGTCGGTGCCTGCCTGTGGCCACGAAACGAGCCAGGATGCTGAGAGGGTATGCGAGATCTGGGCGAGTGCAAGTCATCAGGTACATGAGGCAACCCACTAGCTCAGCGTAAGGACCACTGGGATCTACCGACTCCTCAGGAACTGGAGCGGAGAGTCTGTGGTCCAGAGGAAGAGGGGTGGGCTGTGCGGAGGAGAACTGAAGGCCGAACCTCTGAAGGACCTGGCGCACCAAGTGTGACTGAGTCAGGGTGATGGTGCGCGCGGCTCTGTCCCTGGAGATCTGCAAGCCAAGGTAACGGCGCAGCTCTCCAAGGTCAGTGCAGGTGTGTCTCTTCAGCAGCTCTGCCTTCACGGAGGCCAGTGCGTCCCTGTCAGCAGTGGCAAAGACCAGGTCGTCTACGTAGACGAGGATGTAGAACGGAGTCGAGCCAGCACGAACGAAGAGCGAGGGGTCTGCAGAGGACGGAAAGAACTGCAGGTCAGCAAGGGTAGCACGCAAAGTGTCGTGCCACTCACGAGGCGCCTGGCGCAGGCCGTAGACTGGCCGCCGCAGAAGCCACTGGGTCCCAGGGGGGAAGGTGCCAGTAAAGCCCTGAGGGCGACGCAGGTAGACCTGCTCGTGAAGGCTGCCCTGAAGAAAGGCAGTGGAGAAGTCGAGGGAGTGAAGCTCGTAGTCACGCTGAGCCGCTACGTGTAGCAGCACCCGAAGAGTAGTCATCTTCGGGGTAGGAGCGAAAGTCTGAAAGAAGTCCACCCCCTCGCGCTGACTGAAGCCTCTAGCCACGTAGCGCGCCTTGAACACAGGCGGCTCTCCAGGAGGGCGCTTCACCTTGAAGAGCCAACGGCCATCGACCACGTTCACCCCAGGTGGGGGAACTGCGTCGACGAAGGTGCCGGTGGATCTCCAAGATGCCATCTCCTGCTCCATGGCAGCTATCCACTGAGAGGCCCAGGGTCCCGAAACCGCCTCAGCGTAAGTACGAGGGGTCGGGATGTCGAAAGCGTCTGGGTCACCCTCAGGGACTAGCAGCATGGAACAGAGATGGGGAGCAGCCTCGGACAGGAAAGCAAGCTCAAACTGGCGGTCCTCCAGGACGTCACTGCCGAGGGCAGGAGCACCCCCGACAGACGGAGGACAGGCAGGGTGAGAGACCAGAGCGGTGGCGTAGTCAAGGCGGCGGGTAGAGGCGAAGTCAGCGACCGCAGCGACGAGGGCGTCAAGACTCGACACGGGAACAGACGGGTCGGTAACGAGAGAGGCAAGGACCCGAGGAACAAGAGGACGAGCGGCACGAAAGGAGTCGGACAGAGGAGGAGACGCAACGACAAGAGAAGACGGAGGAGGAGACGGGAGGAGGGGAGGTCGAGACGCATGGGAACGGAGCAACATAGGGTGAGAGCGCGGGACAGGGGAGACAGGACGAGCACGAGAGGGGCGGCGAGACCAGACGTGTGAGGGCGGCGTCGGGTCAGGAGACAGAGGAGGGGACACAGGAGGGGAACGAGGGGGAAGACGAGCCGGGGACGAGTCTGGCAGAGGGAACACGGGGCCGTAGACGGGAAGAGGGGGAGACGGCAGGAGAGGAACAGGCGCAGGGTCAGGAGACGGAAGGCCGAGCAGACGGAGGGCGGACACAGGCGGGGACTGCTGCTGCGGCGACACAACACCAACTCCAGGGCCACAAGCTGCGCGACGGCTACCTCCCGAACCCTCCACACCTGCACCCCCAGAAGGGACACCCCCAGAGTCCACAAACGGCGGCAGCGACGACAGCGGCGGCGGCGGCGGCGGCTGCAGCGACGGCTGCGACGGCGGCGGCGGCGGAGACGACGGCTGCAACGGCGGCGGCGGTGGAGACGACGGCTGCAGCAGCTGCGGCGACGGCGGCTGCGGAGGCGGTGGAGGAGGAGACACCGGGGGAGGGACAGACGGCGAGGACTGCGCCGGAGGACTACCAGAGTCAGAAGACTCGTCGACCGGGACGACCGACGGGAGGGGGGTGACGTGAGACACACCAGAGGGGGCCGGACGGGGGGGCGGGGGGGGGGGAGGGGCAGGGACCACCAGGGAGGGAGGAACCAGGAAAAGGGGGGGAGTAACCGGGGGACCACGGTGGGGAAAGCGGCGGTAGAAGGAGACGGACTCGTCAAAGGTGACGTCGCGAGAGTGAAAGAAGCGGTGAGACGGCGGGTGGTAGAAGTGCCAGTCGGACGCGTCAAGGGGGAAACCGAGGAAGACGCAGGGGAGGGTGCGGGCAGTGAGCTTGTCCGTGCCAGAGGCACGAACGTGAGCAAGGCAGCCCCAGACGCGGAACGCAGACGCGTCACCAGGGGACCCGGTCCACAGAAGGGTCGGCGAAACCTGCGGCCGCTGGGGGTGCGGCCACAGGTTAAGCTGGTGAGCGGCGTAGCGCACGGCGAACGGCCACAGAAAATGGGGTGCACCGGCGTGGATCATGGAGGTGCGAGCCACCTCCATGACCAAACCGATGCGTCGCTCAGCGACCCCATTCTGCTGCGGGGAGTCCGGCAGGGTAAACGTCTGGGTGATGCCCTCCGCACGACAGAAGCGACCAAGGACACCTGAGGCAAACTCGCCACCCCGGTCGGAGTGAAGGCGCAAGGCAGGGAGACCGCGGTGGACACGAGCAGAGACAAGCCAGGGGATGAGAACGTCAGGCACGTCGGCCTTCCGCTCCAGGGGGAAGACGGTGGTGTAGCGCGTGAAGTCGTCGACAAGCACTAGGAAGAAGCGCTCGCGACGCGGCCCATGGACCGGGGCTGGGCCCCAGACGTCCATGTGCAGAGTCTGCAGTGGTGCGGTGGTAGGGGGAAAAGAGGAGGAGTGAGGGGCACGGCGGAGCCGGCCCTCGACACAAGGCGTGCACGGTGGGGCGGGGGAGGAGGGAAAGTCGGGGAACGAACCGGGGAGACCAAGGACGAGACCGTGCTGGGACATGTGACGCAGACGTGGGAGTGCAGGGTGACCAAGGCGGTGGTGCCAAAGGAGAGTCGGGTGAGTGAGGGACCGACAGGAGCACGCGGCTGCAACCTGGGTGGACGCAACTACCGGGGGGGAAGACCCAGCCGGGGACGGCGCGGTGTCAAGTGTGAACAGGCCGGACACCGGGTCCCGGGGGAAAGTGGTAAGGGGGGCACCAGTGGCGGCCTCGGTACAGACAGCATACCGCTCGTGACCAGGGAACGTAGTGGTGACGCCAAGGTCCTGGAGGCAGCCGACACCAACTAGGTTCCTGGAGAACGAGGGGATATGCAGACCTGTGAGAGTGCCCGAAGGAACCGCCGGACAGGGAAGGGAGGTGGAACTGCGGGCAACGACGGGACCACCGGAGGGGTCAGCAAGAGTAACTGCAGCGGGAACAGGCAGCGGCGTCAGCGTCGTGGAGTCGCGGAAGAAACACCGGGAGGCGCCAGAGTCCAAGGTGAAGGAAAGCGCAGCAGTCGCGCGAGGCAGCAGTGAAGCGGTGGAAGCACCAAGGCTAAGCAAAGCAGGAGATCCTACGCCTGACGCAGCAGGGGAGTCTACGCTAGGCACCGCTACACTAGGCAACACGGGGTAATAAGAGGGAAGCACACTAGAGTCATCAGCATACATCACATGCAAGGCCGCTACAATGGCATCCATGTCCAAGTCAAAAATCCTAACGCTACGCCTAAGCAAGCTGTGCCAGTCCGGGAGGTCGGGCGCCGGGCCAAAGCGCTGGCGGAACAGGTCGTCCAGGCGACGAAAACAGCGAGGAGTAGAATGACCGATCTTACCGCAAGCGAAGCCGCGGCGAGGACCGGTCTGGATCTGGTACTGACAGGGCCCGCCTCCAGAACCACCACCCGGTGCACCACCACGCGCACGACCACCACCAGCTCCAGGCCACCCAGGTGGGAGAGTACTCGCCGGCCTCGTCTGCGGCGGCTGCTGCGGCTGCTGCAAAGGCTGCGGCTGCGGCGCCTGCTGCTGCTGCGGCTGCTGCAACTGTGGAGGCAGCGGGGCAGCTGGA